AATAAATGTCAAGCTGCTGAGTTGCACAGGTGTTGAGTTCTTTGCATGCACAGTAACAGGAAGTGATGTCAAAGGGGAAAGCCTGCATGTGAACAGATCATTGCTACAATGGCTAACACAGACAGCAGATAATAATCTAACATTTAGATTAATTAGAGTAACTATCAGAGATGAAGAAGAGTCAGGATTTAGATATAGTTTCTATGAACATAAAACAGGAAGTTTCCCTTTTAAAAGAGTTCTCCTTTGATGTCACTTCCTGTTTCACTTTGGCTGCACTAAGTTTAAAGGAAAATGCACCAATTATGTGACAAAATGAATAATATGTGTATTTAGCCAAAAATTCTTAAATATTAAAATGTTTTCTTCCATTTTTGCATTTGTAGGACATGCATGTCACCATCACTTTAAGCCACAGCCGCCCTTAGAGCCGAATAGAGTTTGATTAAAAAAATAATAATAATTATATATATATATATATATATATATATATATATATATATACACACTTCAGTTATCAAACAAAGTGCATTAGCTGCAATTAGATGAATAAACTGTGGTTCAACAATGGTTTTTTTTTGTTTTTTTGGGGGTGTTGGTGTAGTTTCTTTCCCTTTATTCCTGTACTTTCACTGCAGTAAAAATGTCCTGCAAAACTAGCCTGTTCCTTGAGCAAGGAAAGTCATTAAACTTGTTCTCATGAGGATGTCATCACTTATCATGCCAGGTCCTGATATCCTTCTGATCCCCTTAAGTCATTACCAGCCCTGGCTGTGTGCCACCACACACACCACCTCACTTTGCAGAAAAGTAGACTGGATAGTTTTGGTATCTGTGAACAGCCAGCAATGTGTGATGACAATAATTTGATTAACTCACCTTGATGGATAGTTATTTGACAATGATAATTCACAAAATTAAAAGTAAAACTATTTTATAGTCTGTTAACTTGGCGAACTAAAGTATAAGCTGTGACTACAGTAATGGGTGCACTGTATGTCAGATTTTATATCACCAACTTGTGCCTTTATGCTATAAGTGAATGGTCATTTGTGCTTCCTCAGCCCGTCCTTTTGTTCATCATGAAGCTGAAAGGCAAAGATGTGGAGAATGAGAAGGAAGGACGAGGGAAGCAGGTTGACCACACACGACTCAAAGGCGGCACAAGGGACACGTGTCAGCTTTTATTTGTAGCATCAGCCACAGCACTCGTGTACTAGCACCCACTGAGAGAAGATTTCAAGATGAACTCAAAAAAGAAAAACAAATATTTGACAAAGATCTATTGTGTTTTAATATTTTTAAAATGCAATAAAAGCAGTAGACCAGCCAACATTTTCTTAGTTTTTACAGTCTTGTCGAGGACTGGCCTTTTCTTATTTTAATTTATTTACCATTGTTTAAATAAACACACTAAATGACCGTATGTTATTTGCATTTACTTTCAAATTTTTGTCTCAACTAAGATTGTTTTTATAAAGATATATTTTTTTGTTTGCTTTGATATACTGTACGTCTTGCGTTGTTGTAGTCAACATTAATTTATACACATCTGTCCCTGTATCCTCACTCATCTGTATTTCCACCCTTCCTGGAACCCCAAACTGAACTCGCACAGAATTGACAAACGGCTCTGTGGATTATGCACTAAATGCTGGATATGCTGAACAGAGTTTTAATGCCCACAGCGCTTTGATGTAAAAATGTCACTACTGGAATCCCAATTTTTTTTACTCCCTCATCACATTAGCCTAATGTCACCCATTCCTCCTAGAGATCAAGTATAAAATAGCTGCTACAGATTGTGCACCTGCTACTCAGCTCTAATTCCTTATCCAATCAGTTTAACTGAGTGGATATGGTTTGTGGATATGGAACGCAGGGCAAAGACCGAAGGTAAATATGATGGATTAATTAAAAGATGCAACATTTCAGCTTGAAGATAAATGATTGATTAAAGCCAGATGGTGGTTTGAGACACGTGTAGTAAAAAAGAAACATTAACTTCTGCAGTGAGAGACTATTACAACACGTAGGGATCATAGATAGAAAAAAAGCAAGATATACCGTCTGCTCCATTTCCTGGAACTATGAATTGATATAAAAAGAATGATGAGTGGAAAGAGGAAGGAAGTATTTTGTAAGGAGTAGTGTTTTTTTTTTTTATACACTGTACATCTTTCCAAACCGTTGAAACAAAATCCTTCTCGGGTATAAGGAAAAGGAGAGTTGAACAGTATTAAAGGGTTATTATCATCACTGAACAATTCAACTGGGAAGATGAGGATAAGTTGCAAGCAGGGGATGATGGTACCTGGTGTAACCAGCTTCCACTTTCTTTTGATGCATTGAACTGAATGAACCAGTTCTTATTTCCATAAGCCTGACTGGCTAATACGTGATTGGTATTCTTGTCCTGGTCTTGCATTGCTCTTCGATAAGCCTTCCGTGCACACAGCCAGAGCCCTCAGCATGATCTTATTTCCTGTCTCCCCAACACCACAAACAAACTCTGTCAAAGGCACAATTGTTCTACTTCTGTGAGCATTGTTGGTGGATCTCTTGTTGTCTCCCAGTTGTTCATGTCCCACACAAACACAAAAACTGAATTCCGTGCACTCAGAGCTCATACGGCAATCAGCTCTGGGTGCACAGGGTGTCTGCAAGAGTTTAGTCCACACTTTGTGTTTCAAATGTAGACATCCTCACAAACACACGGCGGCAGACATCGATGCTCATAACATAACCCGTCTGTGGAGGAGCGATAACTGTGGCTAAACAATGGCCGTTTAATGTCACTGTAAGCTTTTGTCCTAAAGGGCTCTTTGTGTGTGAGTGTGTATTTTTTGTGTTAGCACATAAATTAGGTTTACAGTACAGTTTGTGTTTGTGTTGGAAAGTTTTAGGAAAACTGATGAAATAGGGCTAAAATGAAAAAAAAGAGTGTAGAACAGCTGGTTACAAAATGTCCCAGTGATTAAATATTCTGGTAAGCAGAAGAAATAAAGGGCAACGACATGCGCACAATTCCAAGATGTTTATTTTATACTGAAGTTAATGCTCAAAATTATAAATATGAATATTTGAGTCTTCAAAACTCTTAACTGTTTAAAGTTATTCAAGGTTGAAAGTTCTTTATTGTCATTCGCATCACATGTGGTACATGAGGTGGAATGAAATTGTGTACTCAAGATCCCAGTTACACCCAAAAATAGCAATAGCATAAAGTATAAAAAAAATAGTATACAATGATCTAAGATATAGGCTAAACAATAATAATGTAATATAATATGGTGTATTAAAACAGCAGCCTGAACATGAGTCTGTAGTGAGCAGATGAGTATGAATATAGCAGCTTAAAGGCAAGAGATCAGCAGCATGGATAATCAGCAGTAGTTGTGGTTGTCAGAGTTTTCTGTTTTTAAGCCCTTAGTGTAACCATACCCGGGGTGGAATTTAATATTGTTGTATTGTTCAAGGAAGTTCGATTACCTAGAGAAAGAAAGGGTAAACACTGAGCTTGGTAGCGCAGAAAAATAAGATGAATCATTTTATTTTATTTTTTATATTTTTGGTTTTGGAGAAGCCTTGATATTTTAGCAGCAGTGACTAAGGAGCTGATTATGTATTTAGTAGGTGAACGTCAAATGTCTTTTCTACTTCTCTTCCTCTACTGAAACTACTGGTGGTTTCAGTGGTCCTGTGACCTTCTGATAACTCAACCACTTAACTGTACATTTTTTCTATATTGCAATGACTTAAAATAAAAAATGTCTTTTTTTAAGACCATATCAATATCTGTCAACATGTAAAAGGTTGTTGCAGAAGATGAAATCAGTCATCTTTTCAAATAAAATGTAGGGCTGTATTTTATTCCCACACTTCATTTTATTCACTTTTAAGACATAGTGTGGCATGACGGGTAAAGCTGAAACATTGTTCTTTGATTTTGTGTTGAAATCATACATTCTTAACTGTTTGCTTGACTAGACACAACACCTGCTGTTTTTGCTGTGAGTTGATGCACACCCCACTGTTGTATGTGTGTTTATATATAGACAGTATGAGTCTAAGCAACATACACACACTCCCTTTATCCCTGAGCTCCCCATAGACAGAGTTGAGCAGTAGTACATGCAGAACTTGAAGACTTGGAATACGAAGTCCTTGGAATATTTTTCCGTTCTTCTCTTTAGTAGAAGAGGAAACCCTCTCCAGCTGGCTTTGTCTTTCTACTGTTCTCCATCATATTGTATGTCTGGTCTTTGTCATGGACAGTTGTTATCAACATTTCTATTTCTGAACACTTTCTGCCTTCAGTTTTAAAGAAATGCTCCCTGTGAGCAGGACACTGAATACATTCTGTGGAGTCTAAAGATTTTTTTTTTTCCATTTTCTTCAGACTTTGAATCAAAACCAACCTTCCCTCTTCCCCTTGTTTAATCTGTAAAGCCTAATTTTTAATTCATCAACTGTATGCATTTAATATATTCATTCTGTGTAAATCTACTGGGAATTAGCCCAGTGGAAGACTTTGTACCATCTCAGGGTAGTGAGAGATATTACATATCATTAAGAGAAAAAAAAAACTATATAGATATATATACGTAGATGGATGGTAGGTAGGTATAATGTGTAACAATATGTCCTGATGCATGCTCAATCATCCAGGTAAATAAATCCAAAAAAGTACCTTTAACATTATAAAATGTACTGTATATTTGTTGTATACATTTGTTGTATGTACCACTGTAAAACTCAGAGCAAAAGAGTTCACTCTCATTTGCTTGAGTACTACGATGTAGCCAGACAGTATTTTGTTCTGCGCTCCCTGAGGCTGTGCTCGTGTATGTGTGTGTGTGTGTGTGTGTGTGTGTGTGTGTGTGGGTGTTTACCTAGAAGCCAGACACAGGTTCATGTACTTGCTGACCTCTGAGGACGGGTATTCTCACATTGCATTTTTGACTTGCACACCACTAAATGTAGCCCCTGCACTAGTTTTACTGATTAGAGTTAATCAAACTGACAGTTGCCTTGTGACAGAAACGCACTTTGAACTTGTGCAGCTGCATGCTATGATTATCTGTAGGAACACCAGTATCTTTTCAGCTACGGGGTGCGTTGTTCCTGATAGAGACAGGCAAGGAATGCAGGCAAGCTCACTGGGCAATGCAGGCAGAGTAACAAAAACAAGCCTGGTGTTTCTGATTGTCCTCTGTGTGTTTTTTCATTGTTGCAGGGATGTACAGCAACATGTAATCTTTCTATAATTAAATGTGACATCTCTTATGGCCATTTTCTAAACGGATGTAGTGTTGAATTGAATGCAGTGGTGTCTTCACATTTTTTAGCAGTTCAAAGTATTAATAGTCATGCTTTTGATCAACAAAGAAACTGTTTTGCTCAGTCAGTAAATTTTGTGTCAGATTTACAGTATTTTTTTCATTATAAAAGTTTACATTTTAGTTATGATCTTGTGTTCTACAGCAGGTACTGTAAAAAATATTTGTATGTTTTGCTGAAAGTACATTATTTACCAATACACATTTATTTTCTCATCAGAAACATTTTTATGCAAAGCAAATCACATTCATGAATTGTTTCCTTTATAGGACAAAGCTTCAAAACCATTGAATAAGAAAAGTGGCCTAGACTGTAAACTCTGACAACTCATTGATGCTGGGTTGTGTGGCTAATGCCCACACTGCTTATTAATGTTTTTTCACGGGGGTCTGATTTCATTGTTAAGAAAAAATCCTTTATTGTATTTTCCCTTAAAGTCACTAGTACGTTTTTTCCCCCTGTGTGTCTGCAGTATAACTTTGTGGGGAGAATTCTTGGTCCCCGGGGACTCACTGCCAAACAGTTGGAAGCAGAGACGGGATGCAAAATCATGGTGCGAGGCAAGAGCTCCATGAGAGACAAGAAGAAGGTAAGCTCGTCAGCCCAGAGTTTTGGACAGAATGTTGATTGTAGTGTTCCTTGGATTTTATTTTTACACATTAATAAAAGTATATATCAATTCAGTATGCGTGATATATACAGTACACGGTAGAAACAATAGAAATTTAGCCTACGATGGAGATCTGTCTTCTACCGGCTAACTGCAGTAATGCTGTGTCTGATGTAAAATCAGAGTTGTCAGTTTAATTGTTACTTTTTCTTTTAGTTGAAAACTGTGCGTAAGTGGTGTTCAAGTGTAAAATCAGAGCTGTTAGATTTAATTGTTACTTTTTTTTAGTTGAAAACTGTGCGCACGTGGCGTTAAAGTCTCTTCTTCGAGAGCTAAGTAGCGAAGCTACAAGCTAACTACGTCCGGCTTGCCGTAATGTTGTCGTATTCTGACGCATGCACAAAACTCTGTGTTCCGTTGAAATTTTTTATTTTTTTCCCGCCGAAAGTTAAAGTAAGCGCTGGACATCTTTAGAGAAGCCTGCTCTCTGATCTGTGAAAAGAACGATGTGTTGTGTGATTTTTACTGAAAGACCCTCTGGTCAAAGCCACAGATTCATTTTGTGTCAACTCTCCATTAAAGCAGAAGGAGACGCCACTAGAGGTTTGGAGGGTGAAGTGTTTCAGTGTAAAATGCTGCTCTGTTGCTGTTAAGTGTGAAGACTGGAGACTGTTAAGAGTTAACAACATGCTCTTTTGTTTAAAACATAAGGCTAAAACTACATTTGATATATTTTGCACTGTTTTACACTACAAGAAAGAAGCCTAATACTTGATTTGTTTATTATTTAAAAACTCTGGACCTAGTAGTGGAATTTTCTTATTTCAAAATATATGATTGCAAAAGGACACACTATGCTTTTTATATTCCTATTGCAAGTTGTATACCAAAAACATATCGCGATTTATATAGTAATCGCCACCCTTCACAATACATATCGTGATATGAATTTTATGCCATATCGCACATTCCTAATATACACACACACACACACACATGTATATATATATATATAAATATATAATATGTGCACAATTTATCGCCCCCAATTTCCTTAATTATTGGAGATCGGACAATACCTACAAGAGAAACCGATTTTATCGATTTACTTATGGTTTTAACAACAATTATCTAAACTTAATTTATATTTCAGAGCACTACCTCACGGTCAGTTAAAACAAGTTAGTATTGTTTCTAGGATATTGTTCAAGGGTATGTTTTTCAATAAAATAAGATTTTAAAATTAAAGGTGCATTGTGACCTTATAACACCTGACGGTGTTGCTTATAAAACAAAATCGGTATCGGGCACAATCGGAATCGGCAGGTCAGGCTTTTTAGAAATCGGCGATTGGCCAGAAAACTGCAATCGGTGCACCCCTAATATATATGCTTGTAGAAACACAATGCAGATAGAGCTTAGCTGGCTGAGTTGTGACATTTGACCAACATCTTGAGAAATGCTCTGGAACGTTCAGACGGCAGCAGGAAAGCCTCAGGCCAGGGCAGCCTCCATTTCTGGAGCTTCTGAGGTGGGATTGGTGATGCATTAAAAACTACTGCTTTGTATACACACACTGATGCGTAAAGGTATTTAAAAACCTCTTGGAGGCAGTTTATTTGCAAACTGAACTTGAAATTGAACAAGCATTAAGTAGTATGGCCTCAGCAAATGAAATTCATCAAATCCAGGCTGATTGATTGAGTAAAAAAAATTGTAATTAGATTATGTTTGGAGATTTTGTATTGCACTCCTATTCTGTCAGTCTTGTAATAATCTAAGTTTAAATAAGAAAAACGTGCATTTTAAATGCTCAGCCGGCCTAAATGAAATCCCACAAAGTGCTAAAGTATGCCAGTTCAAATTTTAATAATTTACTGTGTGGACAAATTACTTGTTTTCAAAGCTGTAGTACTTAAAGCCTCTTTTTTTAATGGACTGACATTTTGGAGATACTTTCCTTCTGACTGCACCCCCTAGCTGCTCAGATTTGCCAGACGGGCTGCTAGATTACAATGCATTAAAATAATCAAAGTAGCTGTGGAAGAGCAGTCACCTTTTCTGCAGACAGATTTCATAATATGCCGTGAAATCCAGACCGTGCCACAACAGATGAAAACCGTCGGAGAAGTGTGTTTTAATTTATATCTCCTCTCAGGGTATTCATTATTACGGAACGCACACTTCAGACTTTAGTTTCAGTTCGTTACGTGTATCTATGATTATGTTCATAATCTCGCAGTATGCTAAAACCTAATGATGTGTCCCAGTTTATTTTTTTCTTTCTGGTGCTGCTAATGAATCTGCCAAGAGCTATGCACAATTTAATAAGTTGATAAAGAAACAATGCACTAAAATTTTACACAACAGTATGGATCAGAGATGCTGTTTTCATGAAGTTGGGAAATTTCCTAAATTGAAAGTATTTTATGGGTTTTAATGGATGCTTCTTTATTGCTTCTGTAAAAGTAGTTGAACTATTTTTAAAATGCAATATATTTCATGCATATTCTAATAAAATCCTTATTTCTCTTTAATAGTCTTTAAAATATGCCAAATAGGCTGGTATGAATAAGATATTGGCATAGGGCCAAGTGGTTTTCCAGTTTGTGCATTCATAGATCATAAAAGCTGCAAAAGTTAGCTTCTTTTACCTCAATAGCTTTTGGATAGACCATGTGTGTCATAGCTGTGGCTCAGCCACAAAGAAAGCCGCAGAAGTAGCTTCCAGTCACTGCATCCTCAGCCTCAGTATTTTCAGCTTGATGCCCTGTGGCAGCAGAGGATGCCACGGCAGCAGCTAAGCCAGTGTGTTTATTCAGGATCCATTAGCGGCAGCATTTTTATGCTCTCAATAATTCAGCTGGTTACTCCCCCTTGGGCCGCGCTGCTTGACAGGGAGCCGGCTCACTGGAGCTACGCAATGGGAGAGAGGCAGGCAGACACCGAGAGAGAAGGAGAAGCCTGCTAAAATAATAAAAAGTAACAATGGTGAAGGAACAAAAGCAATTCCAGTAGAAAATAAGGAGTAAGACGGCAGCAAAAGGAAACAGAATAGCACACCCTTATAAAATAAAATCAGGTGACTAATGCTCACATTTGAGCATCTACATTTTTTTAAATATTTTAACATTAAATAAATTTTCTGTTTACACAACCCAATGTATTGCTTTTTTAACGATATATCTATCAATAAGCTGTACAATACGCTCCATACATTACGACAGGGATTGCTGCTAGTAATAAAGGCCTCTAGACATATTTTGTTAACTGATTTTTAATTCTAGTTGTTGCTACATCTCAAATGAACCCCTAGAAGCCACATTACTATCAAACTCTCATGTGTTGAGATAGCTTTAGGCTCTTTTGTTTCTCTCTTTGCCGTCACAATTAATGCAGAACAACACTGAGAGCAGCCGCAATTAAATTACAGAGGCGTTTTATCGGCCGCTGCACGTGTAGAGTGGGATTCCCCTTCGCAAAAACAAATTCCCTAATTCTATTTAGTCTCCTTCACAGTGAGATTACAGTTAGCGCCACAGACATCTGTTTTATTTAGAGCCACTCTAAAAATCCTTTCAGGCTAGCAGCTTTAAAAACACTATCAAATGAATTTTCATTTGTTTTTGTTGCTGATTGTTCCAACATAAAATAGCTAAAAGTGTTGTATCAGCACAGTCACTGACAACAAAATACGCCATCAACTTCTGCCAGCCTATAAATGTTGTCACGGCACAGCTACGTTTCATTACATAAAAAGTTATACATGACGTTTGCAGTCAATATGCTAAATTTTATTGGTCTCTTGGCAGTCCTGCAAATCATTTAATTTTGTTTTGAATTTAAAGTTGACACTTTGCATTTCTCGTTCCTTGACCAATTTGCATTTACCGTAATGCTTGTTTCTGAAAACCTTCAGGCTAGGTATTGTGGGTGCTGCATATTGTAGGTACTGTCCACAAATGACAAAAAGCAAATATGATGACTCAGGACGTGTAGGTGACATATTGCAGAAGTTGCCAGTGTAATATCTAATAATCAAATCTTACAGAAATTAATGTGCATTAATAAAATAAGGCTATGTTTTGTTGGCATTTGTGTGTTTTCTTGATCGATTCCTGTTTCTGCCGTTGTTGGTGCTTTTCTTTCCCTCTCTCATGTCCTTTCTGCATCTTTCTTTATTTCATTTGCACCCATTTAGTTTCCTGGCACTGAGCCTCAAATGAGCTGACCTTAGTTGGAAAGTCCTCAAAGACAAAGATGCAACAGCTTATGTTGGTGGTTTAAATTATAACCATTGAAGTTCAACATCACAAGAGCAAAGCTGTATCACCAAATAGACCAGAATGGTATTTGGGTCATATTTCCAGGTATTGAAAGCTTTGAGTGTAAAACTATCCTCCCTCTGATGTCTTTGAGCAACACATCAAACCTAGAGTTTAGAAGTTAGAGGTGTACATTAACCTACAGTGCCAATAAAGGAAAATCATTTAGGTGACAAAACACATGGAACGTAATAGATTGTGTTGCAATAAAAGAAACAGTCTTTAGACGAAAATAAACAATTCTTTGTTTATGGTTTCTTTCAACCATATTATAAAAAGTAAGACCTTAAGGTTTATTGGACAGAACCTGAGAGAGGTGTGAATACTACCAGGCAAACGGCTGCAACAAAAGTACTGAGCAGCATAACGGATCTTCTTCTCAGATGTTGTCTCTGGATGAAGTACTGTTACATTTATTCATGCTACGTGTTATTTAAAAATCTGTTGTTTTCAATAAGGCACTTGCTGCCATTGCTTTTATATTAGGCCAATACTGACTTTTTTATCAAAGACCCTCCCAGTATTGCAGCGAACTCATGTCTTACCACCCGTCCCTTTTGTCACCCTTCCAACCGGCCTCCCTTTCTGACCTTCATCCTGTTTGTCATGCTGTCACTTTCTTTCTTGGAGCACACACTGACCTTGTGTACAAGCAGTTGTGTTGGTGTAAATTATGTGAATCTGTTCTTATGGATGTTTACATTCCGATCTCTGTTTGGCTACAATCTACAATAAAAATGAGAGCCTTTCAGAGCCCACAGTCAGTTAATGTATACTGTGTTTGTGTTGGTAATAGGAAAAAGTGTTACCATTGATGCACATGTGCATATCAGCATGTTGGATAACATACATATTACCTTATCTCCTTTTCATAAGATGATGATTCACCTATGTGCCCCCCCAGCCCCAATGTCGACTCTAAACTTACTGCAATGGTGAAATACTGACAACACTGCCTAAGCTAGCCCACACCTTCATCTACTGTCACCCCACCCACATGTGGAAAAAGGGGGAAACGAGAGTAGAATATTGAACTTATGTACTTCAGTGTGTGTGTGTGTGCACATGTGTGTGTGTTGTAAAGAGGAGTGCCATGGCAACAGCTCTCTAGAGTAGAAAGCTGGTGGGTGGCACTCGGCTCTGACTCTAAGCTGTGTGCGTACATGCTCACTTTCTCTTTGCAGTTCTTGTTTGGTGTTTTAAAATCATGACAGGAGGACCCCTGCAGAGCACCTCATTGTAAACTTAGTAATTATACTCGCTAGGGGTGCACCAATTGCAGTTTTCTGGCCGATCACCGGCTTCTAAAAAGTCTGACCTGCCGATTCCGATTTTGGCCGATGGCGAACTTGTTTTAAACTGGCCATGAGGTAGTGCTCTGAAATATAAAGGAAGTTTAGACAGTTGTTGTTAAAACAAACATGAAAATCGGTTTCTCATGCAAGTATCTGACAACACTGCCCAAAATTAAGGAAATCGGGGCCAATAAATCGACCGTCCGATTTATCTGTGCACCCCTAATACTCACTTACTGTATTTCTACTACACTCAAATAAATAGTGATCTCAAGTTGAAGTGTTTTTATTATGGGTAGAAGTAAACAACACTACTTCATCATCGGGTTGCACAATCAACGTCAAACCGATGTGCACTTGTCTTCCTGAGATTCTTACGCCTTTGAGGAAAAAAATCATCTCAGTTCTGACCTTTTTCAGTTCATAATGTTGTATTTATTTTTTCTTCAAATGACATAATCATTGCTATTTGAATATTTGTATTACTATTTTAATACACAGTCACACATTAGAGAACTTGTTTTTTTGGCAGCCTAGATCTCGACTCCTCACCTCTGTTGGAAGTCATCAGCTTTATAATCGCTGCCTCCTGTAGTTGTACAGTGACATGTGATACAAACTCAAAAGCTCTTTAGAGCGAGCTCAGTGTCATCTCGCTTCAGGTACTTGTCCCAGTGGCAGAACAGTAGGTATTTTGCTACATTTTGGAATATGTTAAAATATTCTGCAAACTTCTCTAATAGTTTATTTTTTTATTCCTTATACCTCTTCACAAAAGAAAATGGATTTGCCTGGCCTTTAATTGGAGACAGCTGAAATGGTTTGACATTTCTAAACTTGAGTCTCTTTAATACTAATATTGCAGTGCTTTCTTTAACAGGTAAAAAAAGACAAGGCAGTGCTGGTTGTTTTGAAATTGTAGGTAGAGTAGTTTTAGGGAGCTGCCAGTGTTTTGGCACCATCTTCAGATGGGACAAATCCCTTAAAGAGTAGTTGTTGCCCAGCATTGTCCATACAGTCGTATCAGAACACAACCATCTGCTTTCATTAAAGTCCAGCAGGACTTTGAACTCTGTCATTATGATTCAAACTCAACTAGTTACAGTAGAGTGGCTTAAAAATCCAGATACATCTCCCTCTGATCCCTGCATCCATTCATCTTTCACTGATATTAATTGCTGCAGGGCTAGCTGTCATCTTTGTCTCTGTGAAGCAAGGGATCTATTAAAGAAGGGTGTCCTTTCAAAGTTAAAGCTAAATAGCTGACTAATGGGTCACTCCAGTCATCCTGCTTCTTTTCACAGCACCTCTTCATCCTCTGTGTATGCCTGTCTCCTACATCCGCTCTCTGATATGCTGTGTTGCTGCACTGGTGCTCTAGCACACCCACGCTGTCAAATTCACTCATCGTCTTTTCCACTCTTTTCTGTTCCTGTCCAGGAGGAGCAGAACAGAGGAAAGCCCAACTGGGAACACCTAAATGAAGACCTACATGTCCTAATCACAGTGGAAGACACACAGAACAGAGCTGAGATCAAGATGAGGAGAGCGGTAGAGGAAGTCAAGAAGCTTCTTGTACCTGCTGTGAGTACACGATATGCACAAACTTAAACTGTACATCTTTGACGCTGTGGTACCAGATTTTGGGTTCATTTTCAATGTCACAGAACCATGGACAAGGATGAAGGGAAGCTTTTGATTTTCAGCAACTAACAGCATAATGGCACTACATATGGCACACCACCTCTACCCCACTGTTTTGATCCTGTTTACGTCCGTATATAGTCAAGGGGAACAGGTTGGCTGTACCCCCAGTTGAGTGGAAAAACATAGCTTGCTGCACACACCCTTGGTGAATGCCACATTTCATCTCCGCTTCCCCTCTGGCAAACCGTCCTCACACACTGTGTCACTGGTGATAGCTGCTTGTAGTTTTGTTGGCAAGTGTTTTGTGTTTGTGCTGATACTGTGGCGACCAGGTGGACAGAGCAGCTGAAGACCCCAGTTTAGCTTTAGGTAGCAATGTACAGGCCTTTGTGGTCTTTGGACTTAGAACCAGGTCAAACATGCAAGGTTAAAGAAAATGTATAATATTTTTTAATTGGATTTTGTTGAGCTGCTCTCATTCTTGTTTCCTTTTAATATTAATGCTAAATTTATATATGTTACATTAAAAAAATGTCCTCCTTGAGAAATGAGCGCATTCACCGATACATTACCACGTAACAAACATACATTTTTAGAGGTTTTATTTGCATCCAGATACTGAGCAAGAAACAGTCCAAAAAGACAATCCTGTTATTGGGAGATGGAGAAAAAGTCGAACACTAAATGATAAAAATGTGGAAACCTGTAATCTGTGGACTAATCCCGTGCTCATATTCTTTCGATTCAATATTTCTTGTCTGTAAACTGCCTGCTTGTTATTTTTGTAGGCATTTTAATTTGTGTTTTTAGTGCAGGGATATTTAAAATATTCCAGCTCTGAAAGAGAATTATGATGCACTTATTCATGCGCATGTACACAAATATTTGTTACTCACAATTACCGTACTTGAGAATAAACCATGTCTGGAAGCGATGGGGTTCTGAACAATCATTCTGAATGAGTCAGTGTTCACATGTGTGTGTTGACACATGCACAGCTAAATCCTTTTAAAGTCAATGACAGCTTCCCTTACAGCTAAAACTCTTCCCGCAAAGTTCCACAAAAATAGCATCTTTGCTTTTCCAGAAATCACTGAGAATGTTGCATCTGAAGTACAAGAAAGACGATGCGATGACTCATCACCTGAACCACTGGGTGGATTAAATAGATTTTCTCTTTATTTCTCAAACGTAAGAAAGCAGCTTCAAGTTAAGATAAACACTAAGGTAATATGTCTTCCAAAGCTTTACCCTACCTAATAAAGTAGTTAAGTTTCTTTAGAGTTAACTTATCAAATAATGATTTATTATCTACACTAGATTAGTTTGTGTTTCTCCAGTTTGAAGGCGGTAGTCAAGAAAGTGCTACTTTTCATCAACTGCAGTTTATTTCAACCATTTAAATTAAAGAACTCTTTATACATATCAACAATTTCCTGCAGGATTGTAATGAAAACCCAGGATCAATAATGTTCTGTCTTGTCTTATATTATAAATGTCACCTTTATTTACTGTATTTTCTCAAACGTGCATTAGCCTTTTATGTGAAACTGAAGCAGGAATAACCACTTCGGATCCATATATACCGTAGCAATAAGTTGTTTTTTTAAACGGAAATAATAATTTTGTTAAGAACAAGCGAGTCCCTAACCTGTTATCATCAAGTGTTTTGTGTTAACTTGTTTTTTAACATTTTAGTTCCTTTACTGCATTGATCTAAGTCAAGGCTACATCAACACAGCAACTGAAGTGTTCTGAAAGATGAAATTACTGTTTGTAAAAAGGGCTTTGGTGTAAAAGAGCAATAAAACATTTTGCTTCTCCATCAGAAACACGAGAAACAGCCGTCTGACAGCAAGGTTTTCCAATAAAAATATTCTAATATCTGTCTAGACAGTGATTTAAACTTGCTGTTAAATCATTATTCAAAGAAATTACTTCAGATTGTTGACAAATACTTTTTGTCCATCTTTTTATAATTTATTGTGGATGTCATTTATTACAACATAAATACAATTTTACATCGCTACATTACGCCATTTTACATTTTTTGTTCATATTCATCCATATTGGTAAATATTGTGTGTTCATGAGGAAAATCAACTAATCTTTGTCACTTTTGCTTCTCACTCACCTCAAACATGCAGAATTGAAATCAGCAGAAGTTACAATCTCATCAGGCTAAACTACTTTATGTTTGATTGGTAAATTATCTGCACATTTACATTTATTATGTCATTGCGTGAACCTGCAACCATACATACTATAAGTGGGTGTTTTATTTTCTGGCTTAATGGTTTTTATCATGCTAAACTCAAATGGATTGAAGCGTGGAATTGCTGGGTACACACTGTTCTAATAAAGACCATTTACTTCATGTTTGACAGCACAAAATTGCCTTTATTAAACGATGCAGGAACCAAAATCCTGAAGAGCTTTTTCCCCTTTCCTTGCAAATAAGAGGCTTTACTTATCATAGAAAAGAGCACAACTGCAAAACCAGAGGATTCAGCATCAAGCAGGTTTGTTGTTGCTACAAATGTGGTTCAAAACTGATGATTGATGCTAACAGTAGGACTAAAATCTCAACATTTGCTGAATAAAAACTTAAAGCCAGTTTATTTTGACTTGTCTCTTGTTCAAAAGGTATAACATTGCACTGTTTTTTATATATATATATTTAACAGGAAAGTCTTCATTTCATTGAGAAGTTTCTGGGTTTGTTTGTTTTTTCTTTAGTTTTTGACATTGGAAAAGCAAACTGCGTTTTGCAGCAACATGAAATTTGAAGCTAAAAATGAGTGACCTCAAGACTAACCAAGTAACACAAACCACATGTGCTTAATATGTAATGCTTTATAACTAACTATAACAGGACTACTAATTTATTGATAAGTAGAAACTTGTAAATAAACCAATGTATTGATTTTTGGTCCCTAGTTTTGTAAACTCCTCAACTCTCGTTGAACTGGGAGCGGTGAAACATTTTGAGGTGAAAGAGGCAGAAAAAGAGAGATGGGTGGGAGAGCTTGATTGAGCTACTCTTTCAAGTGAGGATTTATTCAACTGATCCTGCGCTAATACACACATAGTAGCACACAGCGGCACACATACCGATACGCATTTTAAATAAAATAAACCTCTATGTGCTTGCACATACACACAACTAAAATGCTCCGCTCATCCCTTGAGTCCTTCGTTAAGGCCCTCAGACGGAGTCGGCAGCAGAGCCTCACTGCACTTTAGATAACCTCCACTCAGAGAGCAACAGTGTATGCATAAATCCTAAATGCCCCAATCCATTTTCCCTCCATGTCCCTAGAAGTGCTAGAAAGTACAATAATAATTGGTCAGACAGTCAGACGTCCTCCCATGATTGATAGAAGACCTCCACCAAGTGCGACAAAGGTAGAATTCTTCATGTACTAAAATGATATTGGATCCCATCTCCGCTGTCTTGTGTAAACATATTCATGCCTAAACCCATCTCCATCTGAGAAACTTCCATATGTTATTAATAATCTTCTGCTAAGTTGGGTTAACCATGCCAAACAATGCCTGGATTGCAAACACAGATATTCATGTGCTATATAATAAATAGGGTGCCGCATGTCTGCTTGTCTTATGACGTGTGAAGCTGATACTTGGCTTCAGAGCTGTTGCCATAGTAAATGACATAATCGATCTCTTTATGGGTTGAAGCATTGCATTATGTTTCACCTTTGACTGCAAAATGTGTACTTTGACCTTTCTTTGCCTATTATTATTTGTTTATTTTTAAGTAGATACTAGTAGCTTAAATCAGGTTTGAGATCTGCTCATGATTTTATTGCAAAGGAATGGTAGGCTAGCTGTGAGGCATATACCAGTATTAAGAGAAGTAGTTGGTTGCTTTTAATCTCTTAACACGTTCACTCATGCAAACACCCACACAGAGCATCCAAAAGCAGAAAAAGATTTGAAAGGAGAGCGGCACACAAAGTGCAGGGCCATTCTGGTCGTGCAGAGCCAAGTGCATACCCCCCTGAATTAATCTGTCATTGCCGAGAACAAAGTGAGCATGCTAGCAGCCCGGGCAGACAGTGGCCCGGGGCACAAGTCTCCATTTGGTGAAACCCGGTCCTGCCTCTTGAGTCGAGCATCCGACCTGCCACACTTTCCACTTCATCTTTTATCACTTTTTTTTTTAGGATCTGATTTTAACTTTTACTTCAAATGTTTCTTACCCATATGAGGATTTAAGACAGATTTTTTTCCCCCTTTGATGTTTCTTTTTAGAAATGGTTTGACGATAGGCAGCATAACTAAACTTTTTCACCACAAGTTTCTTTTCTTCCTTTTTTGTCTGTATTCTTATCATGTGAGTCTTGTCTCCCACTCCCCCCCGTCCCTCCTTCTTGATTGTTTCTTCTTTTCGCCATAGACCACCTTTGAGAGAAAAGATTAAGTAGATAGTGTTTTCGTCAAAGGCAGACAGATGGACGTTAATGGGTGCCAAGCTTGGCTATCTATGGGGTGTTGTGTCTGTACTCAGTAGTATGCATCCGGCTTGGCAGAGAGCACAATGGCAGCGCCATCAGAACCGCTCTGTCTTTGGAGGCAGGAAGAGAAGATGATGCAGAATTGATTTAAACAGTGGAAGTCTGTTCTAGGCCACAGTGTACTGACTTTGCTATGAGTAAACATTTCTTTTTGTTCTCTTTTCTAGCTCTTACTCCCTCCTTCTTTCTCTCTCTGTCAGCAGTGTATGACAAATGAGTACAAAACACCATCTGGCTGTACCCATCCATGTGTGCCTCTCCAATTAATGATGTTTATTGTCTATTAGGCCTACCTATCACTACCATTCTCATCTGATTTACTCTTAATCTACTTCCCCTCCTTGCGCTCTTAGTCAAGCATGATATCTAGCTTCATGATCAGAAGCTCATATTTGT